TGACTTTTCAAATTCAATTCAAATTCAAATTCAATATTCAGTATTCAATATTGAAATTCAATATACAATATTGAAGTTGAATATTGAATTCAATATTTAATATTAAATTTAATATGAAATTCAATATCAATATTGACTTAGACATAAACTGTCCCAATATTTTGTAATTTAAAAATTTCCCACTTTTGATCGATCAATTGGTCATATATTATGGAATAAAATAAGAAATAAAAATATAACGTGAACTTTGACGTGTCAGTTTTCTTAGTGTAAATTCGCGGGATTAAAAAACGGAATTAATGATTCTTTATCATTAATGTAAAATCAGAAAATGCAAATAAAATTTATAAATAAATAAATAAATAAATAAATAAATAAATAAATAAGTAAACATATATATATATTCAGGATGTCACGTACAAGTACGAATATATCATAAAATTGCTTTCTTCTATTCATTTCATTTATTATAAAAATTTAATTCGAATTTTATTTCGACATATTGCAAGCAATAAATTTAAATGAATCAATCATTGCTATTGTAAAAAGTTGAAAATAACATTGTCGTTAGAATACAATCATCGATTAAAATGCATAAAAAATTTATACAAAAAAATAAAAAATAATAAAAAGTTAAAAAAATAAAAATTACTTGGAAGAAAACTTTTTAGGATTTAAGCAAAAAATCAGAAAAAAACTAAATATAAAGAAAAAGAATATTTATTTACACAAATGTATAAGCAAGAATATTACAAATTCGCATAAAATATATGCAAACAAGAAGATTAGATTATTTGCCGAAATTTACAAATTTGTTTATTTGGAACATGAAAAAATTTGAAATATTGGAATTCGAATTAATGAACTCTGGAATATTAGAATTCGTATTACTGGAACTTGAAACATTAAAATCAATTATTGGGAGTTGAAATGTTAAAATTCGAATTATTGGGAACCTGAAATACTGGATTAAAATTGCTGGGATTGCAATTCGAATTATTGAAATTTGAATTGTGAGAACTTAAAATATTAAGTAAACATTCAATATCGATTCCGATATTCAAATATCATCAATTATGGCTTATCACTCTTTCACTACACGTTGTTATTTTTTTCATTCTTTTAAATCTATAACAATACTGTTTCTCATAATCTCTATCAACCTTTCTCGTCTCTTTTTCTACACCATCTTTTTTGTTTCTTTTTCTTCCAATACTCATTAATACATATATATTTCGATATCCTTTTTACATCTGATAGTAATATATGTCTAACATCCCACCATTCTCTACCTTAACACTAGATACTCTTTCGTCCCTTACTCTAACTTGTCAGGTTCAAGGTCAAGTTGCTAAAAAAGATGATTGAAGATTGGTTTAAAAATAAATTGGAGGCTTATTATCATGCTTTGTGAATCCTTCTTTTTCCTCAGAATACTTTCCCTTCTCTTACGTCATTTTCACGTCTTTTCACGTCATCTCCCACTTTCCCTATCTAATACTATTAGATTCTACGTGCTAGATATTTTCGATAACGAATACTGACTACGTATCTTTTGACGTGGTTGAATTCATTTCTACGGATTTATCACTTTTTTTTTCATTTAAGAACGATTCTGTTAAATACATGAATGATTCATTATTTTCATCAATACACTTTCTTTTATATTTCAGGAGGATGCAACATATTACTAGTCGACCCGTTACTGTATCATTATTAACTGCTTCATTCTTTGCTGGTTACTGTACTGACAAGTATATACTAAAACGTGCTAATGCTGCCACCGCTCAGGTACATTTATATCTTGAATCTTTAATCTTACTTTTAGTATAATTATTTATAAAAATTTCATTCGGATTTTAGATTTCTAATTTCTTTTATGTTTTATTCATAGAATTTGATTCTTATAAGATACTGTAGGCGTTCGAAATTACCGTTGTGTAAGAAGATAACAATATGCATTAATAAATTAAGTAAAAGATTATTTTTTATTTTCGGAATACTAAATCAATCAGTGTTACCTTAAAATGTTAAGTAAAACTAACTTTATTATTGATTTCTTCCATAGTATTGGAATACTTTCTTTTTCAGTTACCGGTAACTACAGTGCAACCACCTCATATTTTGACTGGACCCTCTTCAATCTTAGATATTGATCATGTGAAAGAGCAACCATCTCGTGCATCTCAAATAATGCGTTATGGTTATCCCGGATTTGATAACTTACGCACTTTCGAAGATTATGTTTTATCATATGATCGTCGAAATAGGTTATTACATTTCAAATATCAAGCAGCATTATAAGCCATTTCAAGCCATTTTAGCCATTTTAACACTTTTGGACAGTGATTCAAGTATTACTCGTATTGAACAATACGGAAAATAGTTCTGAAATCTATATTATGGCTGTTTGATGAAAAGTGTTAAATATTATGATTTTAAGTCTCATTTCAAATTCTAGTGCATTGTTTTTTACTTTATTGTCTAGATTTTAAAATTTTCGTATAAATAATATTCCCATCTGTACAACTGAATGATAAATGAAAATTATTTAGCTGAAATTCGTTTTAGTTTTCTTTTTTTTTATTTTATAGGATAGCTCACTGGGTTGTTGAACATCTAAGTGCAGAAAAACTAGTCTACAATTCATCTGTTAATCGTTCGAAGTGCCAGTTTCATGAGGATCCATCAATTCATCCTTACTTCAAATCAACAAACGATGATTACAAGGCATATTTTTGCATTCCAGGCTAGCTTCTTTATCGATTCTTTATTATTTTATGAGAGTCTTGAAGATGAATACGTTTGTGCGTCCAATTAATATGAATTTACCGTCTTTATATTTTCGTTGAAGCAAGATGTTTCCTTACATGCCACAGATTTCATATGCTCTGATAATTACAGAATAGCGGATATGATCGTGGTCACTTAGCCGCAGCTGGTAATCATCGACAATCGCAAAATGCCATAGACCAAACTTTCTTGTGAGTAATATGGCACCTCAAGTTGGTAAAGGATTTAATAGGGGCAAATGGAATGAATTGGAGAAACATATCAGGTATTGTGATTTAGCCAATTATTTCTTATATATCTAATATTTTCGTTCATCTCAATGAGTTGAAGAAAATCCAGTCTATTTTATACTCATTTCGCATATCAAACTGTCTTAAGGTTCAGTAAACTATGTTAATTATTAATTGATCGATGCTAATATCATTTTGCTTCTTGTTACTGTTCCATATTTCATTATTGTGATGTATGTTTCAGCTTATTCGGAAACTTCAGCTTTTTAAAGGTCCAAATTTTAGGAAGCTTGCAAGAAAACACAAAAATGTATATGTCTGTACAGGGCCATTATTTTTGCCGAAATTGGAAAAGGATGGCTCACTGTTCATCAAGTATAAAGTTGTTGGTCGAAATAATATTGCCGTGCCGACACACTTTTTCAAGGTAATATGGTTTCAAGTTCTTTATTTTGTTATAAGTCATTATCTAAGACGTGTCTTGATTGAGTTGATATGCTTTAGGTTGTACTCGTGGAACTTATGGATGGCAAATTCGAACTAGAAGCATATATTTTGCCAAATACAGTAAGTTATTTGTAATAGGTTATCTAACTGATGGATAGCCATATCGACAAATGTTTTTAACGTTTATTTTGTGTGTCAACTATTTAATAAAATTTAATGATTTCAGGTGATACCTGATGATACACCTCTGAATTCTTTTATGGTACCATTGGACAGCATTGAGCGTTCCGCTGGATTTCTAATTTTTGATAAATTGCCAAAAGGTGCTTTGAAAAAGATTAACGGAAAATCGAATAATATGTTATGGTGAAAACTGTTGTTACGTTATAATTGTACGACCTTGCTTTTAATTTCGCACGAACTTGCTGACATCCCGAAATGGTGAAATTAAACTTTAGCTAAGTGTTGGATTATTTATTGTTGTATATCAGGGCAAGATAACAGTTGTTGTATATAGTTTACGTCATGATAAAGAATGATGTGACTTTCGGATTTGCAAGCATGAAGGACAAAAATAATTTTTGCTCTCAAGTGGTTCCTACTTGCAGATCTGACTTCTTAATTTATAGATTTTCAAAAGTCAGCTAGTAAAGAATATTTCTAGCTGCTTTCCATAATTTCTAATTTATTAAAAGAATATTTCCAGCTGCTTTCCATTAATTTCCAATTCATTAAAGTTTCTAGAGTTTTTTGAGATTTGTTTTTTACAATTTTTGAAAACTTTTTAAACTTTAATAACTGAAACTGTGTTCCGGTGAACGTTAGCAAAAGCCGTTGGTTCCTAAGTGGAGTCTCGTAGAATACATAATTAGATTCGTAAATATATGAAGTAAAATTAGTTTATATGTTGAAAAAGTAATGACAGATTTGTTCATTAATATATATATTATATATATATATATATATTGTATATATATATATATATATATATATATATATA